AGTGGAAGATATAAAAATCAATGCACAGAAATAAGTTGCACTTATATACACAACAATGTGACTGAAGAAAGAGAAATTAAGGAATTGATCCCAATTACAATTACACCAAAAACCATTACTTAGGAATAAACCTAACCAAAAAGGTAAAGGATCTGTACTCTGAAAACTATGGAACAATCATGAAAGAAATTGAGGAAGACACAAAGAACTGGAAAAACATTCCATGCTAATGGATTGGAAGAGCAAATACTGTTAAAATGTCTATGCTACCCAAAGCAATCTACACATTCAGTGCAATCCCTATCAAAATACCATTGACATTTTTCACAGAGCTGGAACAAATAATCCTAAAATTTGTATGAAATCAGAAAAGACCCCGAATAGCCAAATGTTGAAAAAGAAAACCAAAGCTGTGGCCTCACAATTCCAGACTTCCAGCTCTATTACAAAACTGTCATCATCAAGACAGTATGGTACTGGCACAAAAACAGACACAGAGATCAATGGAACAGAATAGAAAACGCAGAAATGGACCCTCAAAACTCTATGGTCAACTAATCTTTGACAAAGCAGGAAAGAACATCCAAAGGAAAAAAGACAGTCTCTTCAACATGGTGTTGGGTAAATTGGACAGCCACATGCGGAAGAATGAAACTGGACCATTTCCTTACACCATACACAAAAATAGACTCAAAATGGATGAAAGACCTCAATGTGAGACAGGAATCCATCAAAATCTTAGAGGAGAACACAGGCAGCAACTTCTTTGGCTTTGGCCACAGCAACTTCTTGCTAGACACATCTCCAAAGGCAAGGGAAACAGGCACCTCATATCAAGATAAGAAGATTTTGCTCAGCAAAGGAAACAATCAACAAAACCAAAAGACAACCTGCAGAATGGGAGAAGATATTTACAAATGTCTTATCAGATAAAGAGCTAGTATCCAAAATCTATAAAGATTTTACCAATCCCAACACCCAAAGAGTAAATAATCCAATCAAGGAACGGGAAGAATACATGAACAGACATTTCTCCAAAGACATACAAATGGCTAACAGACACATGAAACAATGCTCAACATCACTTGGCATCAGGGAAATACAGATCAAAACCACAATGAGATACCACCTCACACCTGTCAGAATGGCTAAATTTAACAAGTCATGAAATGACAGATGTTGGCGAGGATGCAGAGAAAGGGGAACCCTCCTACACTGCTTATGGGTATGTAAGCTGGTCCAGCCACTCTAGAAAACAGTTGGAGCTCCTCAAAAAGTTGAAAATAGAGCTACCCTATGACCCAGCAATTGCACTACTACTAGGTATTTAACCCAAAGATACAAATGTAGTGATCTGAAGGGGCACCTACACCCCAATATTTATAGCAGCAATGTCCACAATAGTCAAACTATGGAAAGAGCCGAGATATCCATTAATGGATGAATGGATAAAGAAAATTGGTATACATATACAATGGAATATTAGCCATCATAAAGATGAAATCTTGGGGGTGCCTGGGTGGCTCAGTAGTTAAGCGTCTGCCTTCAGCTCAGGTCATGATCCCAGGGTCCTGGGATCGAGCTCTACATGGGGCTCCCTGCTCTGCAGGAAGTCTGCTTCTCCCTCTCCCTCTGCCCCTGCTTGTGTTCCCTCTCTCGCTGTCTCTCTCTCTGTCAAATAAATAAATAAAATCTTTAAAAAAAAAAAGATGAAATCTTGCCATTTGCAATGATGTGGATGGAATTAGAGGGTATAATGCTAAGCGAAATAAGTCAATCCGAGAAAGACAATTATCATATGATTTCATTCATATGTGGAATTTAAGAAACAAAACAGAGGAGCATAGGGGAAGGGAGGGAAAAATAAAACAAGATGAAGTCAGAGAGGGAGACAAGCATAAGAGACTCTTAATCCTAGGAAACAAACTGAGGGTTGCTGGAGGGGAGGGGGATGGTGAGATGAGGTAACTGGGTGATGGACATTAAGGAGGGCACAGGATGTAATGAGTACTGGGTGTTTTACAGAACTGATGAATCACTGAACACTAGGTCTGAAACTAATAAAACATTACATGGTAATTAATTGAGTTTAAATAAAAAATAAAAATAAAATAAAATAATGTATTCCATAAGAAAATATACAAAAAGTGCTAAAAGTAAAAAAATGGCAATTTAGAATTCTATGTGCAATTAGACATATCTTATGAAAATGAAGATTAAAAAATACCTTTTCAAACAGAAAAAAAAAAAATGAAGGAATTTGTCTTCATCAGTAGCACAGTGTAAGGAATACTAAAGAAAGTTACTCAAGCTGTGGGAAGTGATCTCATATGGAAACACAGTTGTATAAGAAGAAATGAAGAGTACCTAGTACCTGAAAGGTTAAACATGTGGGTATATATAGAAGCCTAAATTTTTTTGAAAATGCTATTGACTCTTTCATGTGAAAATAACAGCAACATCTAGGTCAAATGTGTAGAATTAAATATAGTAGCACCAAGGGCAGGAGGAGGTAACAAAAATTATACTGTTGTAAAGTATTTGTTGTTTGTTAAGTAAGATAATACTAATTCAAGGTAGACTGTGATAAATTAAGGATGCATAATATAATCTCTAGTGTAGCCACCAAGAATATTAAAATATAAAAAGGACTGCTAGACGAGCCAATAGGGAAGAAAAATAGATTAATGCTCCATTAACCTAAAAGAAGGGGGGCGGAGAATGAAGAAATGTGGAACAAGTAGAAAACACATAACAAAATGTTAGACTTAAAATCAACAATATCAGAAATTATATTAAATGTAAATGCTTTTAACACTGCAATTTAAAAACATCCACCTGGATTAAAAAAAGTACAAGACTCAAATGTATGTTGTTTACATCAGATACATCTTAAATATAAGGAAAGATATACTGAAAGTTTAGAATGAAAAAAGATATCCCATGCAAAGAATAACTGTAAAAAACCTGGCATGGCTATATTAATATCAGAAAAAAGTAAAATTCAAAACTAAGAATATAAGTAGAGATAATAAGGGAATTATGTCATGATAAAGGGTCAGTTCATCAGGAAAACATACCAGTCCTAAAGATATATGCACAAAATATAACTTGAAAATACATGAAACACTACTATACCTAAAACAACATAGCAACAACAATAATAGGCAATTTTAACACATCTCTTTTAGGAAATAATAGAAAAAGGGCAAAAAATTTTAAAGATTTCAAAAACCCTGGTAACAAACTTGACATTTATATATTCAACAATTTGCAAAATGCACATTTTTTTAGTGCACATGGAAAATTCACCAAAACAGACCATAGGCTGGACCATAAGCAAAACAATAATTTCAACGGATTGAAATTGTGTATATTCTCTGACCATGACTGAATTAAGAAAAGATTAAACCGAAAATATCCAAATATTTGAAAGTTAAACAACACATTTCTAAGTAACTCATAATTCAGACATCAAAGTGAAAATTAGAAAATATCTGACCTGAAGAATAATAAAAATACAACATATAAAAATTCATGAAATGAAGCTAAAGAAGTATATAGAACAAATTTATACCTTTAAATGAATTAGAAAATGTTTAAAACGAATGATCTAAACTTCCAACTCCAGAAGCCAGGAAAAGAGCAAATTTTAAAAAGGCAGAAATCAATTAAACAGAAAACAGAGATGCAATAAAGAAAAAAAAGACAAGAGGTGGTCTGAAGAGATTAAGAGATTCGTTATTGTGAAAACTCTGTTATCAAGACTGATCAGAAGAGAACAAGAATCACCATGATTAGGAATGAAAGAAGGGACATAACTATAGACACTAAAAAAGGTTATTGAGAACAACTTTATGCCAAAAGATCAGCCACTAAATTAAATGGGTAAACTCCTTTAAGATTATAATATTTGAAAAAACTATTGCAAGAATAAATGAAAAATCTGAATAGTCCTTTGTTAAAGACATTGAATCCTCTTTCTTCCTCTTTCCCTTCAAAAGAATGGTAAGAAAGAAGTATCTACCAAATGTCTATATTTATAGTATTTATTACCAAAGTCAAAATCAAATTCTTGGGGCGCCTGGGTGGCTCAGTTGGTTAAGCGACTGCCTTCGGCTCAGGTCATGATCCTGGAGTCCCGGGATCGAGTCCCGCATCGGGCTCCCTGCTCGGCAGGGAGTCTGCTTCTCCCTCTGACCCTCCTCTCTCTCATGCTCTCTGTCTCTCATTCTCTCTCTCTCAAATAAATAAATAAAATCTTTAAAAAAAATCAAATTCTTGGGACTCTCTTCTAATTTTTATACCTATAGATTTTACTCTAATCCTCTAACCAAAAGAATTAGAGAAAAAAGAATAAATTGAAGACAAATTAAGTGAGGTTTATTGACAGAGAAAATAATATAGATGGTAAGATTAGTGAGATAATTCACTGATGAGTGATACAATTTTACCCTTCCTTGGTGAATTCTACCATATATTTAATTGGAAAATTAAACAATCTCATACAAACTTTCAGAAAATGGAAAATGACAGAACTTGTTCCCAACTCAGTTTATCAACCTTGTCACCAAACTCTGATAGAGGTTAACCTTTGCCCCTGAGATCCAAGCCCAAGCTCTCTGGGTCCTTCTGTCTTTTGGGATTCACCCTGTGGATCACCTAGCCAAGGAAAAGGGGAAAGGAGGTGGGTAGAGCAAGAGTCCTGGACAGTAATGTACAGTCCTCAAAGTGAACACAGCTTCTTTCAGAAGCCTATACTGGGGTTGTGGGGAGGGTGAGGCAGGCATATATCTGGATTAAGTGAGATCTGTATGCAGCTACTCAAGTCTGGTGAGAAATACCAGGAGGAGGACCATGGACTACCAACCACAAGCTCCTCCTCAGTAAAAGCAGTGGATGCAGATTCCCAGCACCTGGGGCCCCAGGCAGGTAAGCAGGAGTAGGTGGCGGGACAGCTGGGGAAAAGAGCAGAGGGAGCCTGGTTGGGATGGGGATGCTTGAGCTGAGCTATCTTCAGTTAAGGGCCCTGAAATGACAGAACTGAAGCCTCAGGGGTAGAGGAAGAAATACAGATGCACATGCAAATAGTTCCACACTTGGTTTATTGTTTCCTTTGACTGTGACCAAGGGAGGAAAGGTGGAATTCTCATTTCAGTGAGACACTCTGTAATATCCATTGTCCTCTGAAGGAATTATTAGTTACTATGGAAAAGAAAAAAGACACATTTTTAAGGTACTGAGAGCAAATAAATTCCCTTCCACTGCCAAATATACAAACAACTGAGGGTACTGCCAAGCAAAAATTCATACGTCAGAAAAAAGGATTCTACAAAAACTTTTTGCAATTTGCTTGTGAAATTATTTGGCTGTGAGTAATGTTTATGCTACAATTTTCTGAGATTTCTGGGGAAGCATCGTATTTAATCAGAAGTATTTGCAAATGAGAAAATCTTACATTTTTCTACATATAATTAAATGTTTATGAATGTAACAGTTAAGAGTTTGCATTTTTTTGGGTAATTGAAACATATTATTAATTTTATTTTTTCCATATCTTGGAGCCAATCTGTTTGGTTTTGCATGTTGTAAACAGTGTTTTGTTTTTGGCAGTTGGAAACTCATAGGCCTTAAATATTATGTCTACAATGCATAATGGATAAAGTGGCCCTGATTATGAATTTATTTTATAGACTAATTTACATATGTTATATCTTATTGGATTCAAACTCTTTAATTCCAGTCTATCCACAAGAGCAAGTTCCAACTTTACTAAACTGAAGAAAAAAGACTAAGTGAATAAATACTCATTAATTAGTAAGATTAGTAAAGATTAATATGTTTTTTCTGATATAGTACTTTACTAATTCTTCTACCTAATAAATACCTAGGAATTAATTAGAGATTATGAATTTCATTTCAATTTTAAACATACTTATTTTAAGAGACAGCTCCTAATGTACTTACCTACTGATATGTGTTTGGGTGCTTTCCTGTGATTTGGATCTAGGTAAATAAGGAAATAATACTTTTATTTTGATAAAATACAATCTGATAAAGTTATTTTTTTATTTTTAAGGGAAGTTTCTTCCTCTTTCCTTTCAAAAGAATGGTAAGAAAGAAATATCTACCAAATGTCTATATTTATACTATTTATTACCAAAGTCAAAATCAAATTCTTGGGACTCTTTTCTAATTTTTATACCTATAGATTTTACTCTAATCCTCTAATACCAAAAGAATTAGAGAAAAAAAATAAATTGAAGACAAATTAAGTGAGGTTTATTGACAGAGAAAATAATATAGATGGTAAGATTAGTGAGATAATTCACTGATGAGTGATACAATTTTACTCTTCCCTTCCTTTCCTTACCTCTGCTATTTTATATCTTCAGAACTTAAAGTAGATTTTTCCTACTACTCTATGAAACACACTTTTTAAATATATGGTTGACCCTTGAACAACATAGAGGTTAAGATTGCCAACCCCCACACAGTCAAAATCCACGTGTAACACTTTGACTCCCCCAAAATTTAATTACTTAATAGTATACTGTTGACTGGAAGCTTTACTGATAATATAAACAGTCGATTAACACATATCTTATATTTTATATGTATTATATACTGTATTCTTACAATTAAGCTGGAGAAAAGAAAAGTTATTAAGAAAGTAATAAAGAAAATACATTTATAGTACTGTACTATATTTATTTAAAAAATCCATTTTAAGTGGATCTGCACAGTTCACATCCATGTTGTTCAAAGGTTAACTCTATTTAGTTCTCCCCCAAGCCAATTAAGAGATCTAGACTTGTGAGTCTACTGACATGCCCAACCCATTAGATATCCATCATTTAAAAAAAAATTCTTATTTTGGTAATGTTATAACCCAAAGAGTTGGTTCTACCAACATCTCCCACCAGTTTTCCAATTGAAAAAAAAATACTTAAAATAAAAGTTTAAAAAGAACTGGAGAAAAAAATCTAATAGGTGCTATAATAATAAAAGCACAGCAACTATGCCTAGTTTATTAAATTTAAATGAAAGAACAATTCAAGGATGTTTTTCTGGTATATGATAAACACAAACTCGACTAATGGATTAACATTCCAAATTAAATTCTTCAAATGCAATATATAATGTCCTATGAATGATGTCCTTGACTATCATTCAAGGACATCACCAGTGACAATCACCAGTTGAACACGACTTCTAGAAGAGGATGATTATGTGAATCCCATATTCTATAATGAGAGAGGGGACTCTAATTGGAGTAGTTATAATATTAATTGTGTGTGTGAAGTTCAAGAATGATCACTCATTCATTAAACAAGTACTTATTACACATGTACTCTGCTAGGTGCTAACCCTAAATTGGTTAGCAAAATATACATGGCCATTACCCTCAAGTGATTTCAGAGTATATAGGGAAAGTAATACTTCTAGGTAAGCAAAAGGTTGGAAGAATTACAGTGTTTGAGCATTATATCACAAATATCCCTTGACAGGGAATTGAGATAATAAAGAAAATCAGCTTTTTTTTTTTTTCATAATTAGTTGGGAGAATGTAATTAACATCTATAAGGGGTTATGATGTTAGAAGACATCCAAAAATAACAGAGAGAATAAAAGATGTAGAAATTCCATAGCTTCCCTAATGAAGAAGTGACTTCATCAGAAAAGATAGAAACTATAAATGTGGTGTAGCCTGAAAATTTAACCTGTGGCTATAAAGGATATTCTGGAAAACTAGTGGATTGAAATTAACTAAAGAAGACACTTCAAGGAAAAACATCAGACCTTACAAGAAAACTAAAACTCTATTAAGGGAGAAAGAAAGAAGAGCAGACCAGTAAGTATTTGATGACTTCAGAGGGATCACAAGGCCACAACAGTGGAGCAAGGGAAACTAAAAACTTAAGAAAAATTCATAGAAACTTTGTTAACACAACTGTGGGCTGTTGAGGGGCTATGAAAAGCAAAGAATTTTACTGTGTTTATGATACCATCTCTTTGATAAACTCCTCCTAAGTGGAGTTTACTCAGTTGTTTATATTGAGGTTGTGGATGCAAATGTAATCTGAACAAAAAAATATTTCCCTTTGTGTATCTCGTCATAAAGAATGTAAAAATGCTCTGCTTATAAGTTAGTTCCACAAAATAATTATAGATATCTTGTCTCATTAGATCTAACTAGTTTTTCCTATGTATCAAAAGAGTAGGCAACCAATAAAAACTTAGTCAACTGAAGAAAAAAGACTCATTCCTAGAATGGAAAATATTAATAAATTGTCTTTAGGGTTTTATCAATTGTGGCTGCTCAAAAATTATTAAGCAATTATTTATTTGTTCATTCTTATTTTCAAGGTATACTTATTTATGAGAAACACTTCCTAAATTGCTTACCTGCTGGTATATGTTTGAGCACTACTTTCTGACCTCGATCTAAATAAAAATAAAAGATAAAAGTAATGTCTAACAGTTATATTAAGAAACTTGCCTACATTAAGAATGAAGATCAGGCCATTTTACACCAAAACTAACCCTTTTAATACTTGGGACATGCAAAAAAGTAATATTTTTATTTACCCAACACCAAGTGCAACATATACTGCAAAATTTAAATTCTCCAGTGAGGAAAATATCTAGGTAGCTTTTTTTTCTTTATCACTTCTAAGCACAATATATAAGTTTGATGATGAATGCCTGAATTTGGCTGTCAGGCTCCAAGCTAGCTTTTTAAATTCATTGATACGTAAACTGCCACATTTTGCAAATTAAAACACATTTATTTACTTCTGAGCAATCTATCAGAGTGAAATGACAGGAAAAACTTCCCCTTTCTATTCCATAAGTAAAGCTTTTCCTTTCCATTCCACAGAAAAGCTGAAGAAAATAACACAAAAATCTAATACCCAATGGAGCTTGACAGCCAGAGGGCTTTTCCTTCTGTCAGTAAAAAATGAAGAAACTAGAAGTTCAGAGGGAAAACAGGAGCAAAAGCTGAATGACTACAAGGAAATATGAATTACTCACACCCTAATAGACATGGTTTTACTAACCCTAGCTTGGAAGGAGTTGAAGCAGATATTTAGATGTTAGAAAGCTAAAACAAACCCCAGGACTAGTAGTCCTAAGTGGCGATAATAAAAGTTATGGCTACTGGAAATGCAACAGGTAAGTTGTCTTAACCATGTGGATGGAAAAAGATCACCTAGAGATGTAAAACCTCAGGCCTGCACTATGTATAGGCACAGGACCTCAATTCCTTAATTCTACTACCCACGAATTTGAACCAGTTAAGTATAGAAAATACTGAAACATTCATGCTTCAAGGCAAATCTAAAACATTCCCCTCATCCTAATGTATGCCTACAACTCAGAGCATGCAGAATTCCCATGAGACCAATCATCGTTCCTGGTGATGACATTGCTTACAAGTCTAAATTATAAACTACTGTGTAAAAAAGGAAATGGAAATCAAAATGAGAAAATAGGTTCAAGAATAAATAGTGAACAAAGTAATTGATAAATATGTTGTTAAATCCTATTAAATATTTAATTAATATAATATTATTTTTATATATTATTAATATAATAACAATAACAATGGCTAATGTGTACCTAATGTGTAGGTAAAGAACCTAGAAGTTAAAAGCCAAATGACAATATGTGAGAGATTAATAATTGAATTTTGCTATTAAATGATCTAAAATCCTTCTGTTGTTTAGGAAAAGACTGGAAATATTAATTGAATTGAGATATTCAAAAATTAATTATGCTTAAGTGGCATTAATATAACCATATTGAGATTCACTCCTCTCTACATTCCTTGACTTCAACAGCCTTTCCCACTAACTTTCCACCAGATAAAGATCATTCCAAAAAATAAATGACCAGAAAATTTATAGTGTGGATGCTATGTTAGTAAAGCACAGCAATAGTATCAAGTGATGGGCGCCTGGGTGGCTCAGTCGTTAAGCGTCTGCCTTCGGCTCAGGTCATGATCCCGGGGTCCTGGGATCGAGTCCCACATCGGGCTCCCTGCTCGGCGGGAAGCCTGCTTCTCCCTCTCCCACTCCCCCTGCTTGTGTTCCTGCTCTCGCTGTATCTCTCTCTGTCAAATAAATAAATAAAAAATCTTTAAAAAAAAAAATAGTATCAAGTGACATTATTAAAACTTAAGTGAAAAATTATCCTAGTACACATCAAGCCAAAAGGCTAGACCAGTGGATTAACATCCCAAATTATACTACAGCTAACTGAAATGTCCATTTTCCTATAATTAATGCTATCATTCCTCACTCAGTGTAGGCGAATAATGATCCTAGAAGAGATGAATTATGTTAGCAAGCTTTTAGGATGAGACATATGAGAGAAGTAGAAATGAGAGCAGTTATTTTTTTTTAAGATTTTATTTATTTGACAGAGAGAGAGAGAGTACAAGTAGGCACGGTGGCAGGCAGAGGGAGAGGGAGAAGCAGGCTCCCCATGGAGCAGGGAGCCCGACATGGGGCTTGATCCCAGGACCCAGCCCAAGGCAGCCGCTTAACCAACTGAGCCACCCAGGCTCCCTGAAATGAGAGCAATTATAACATTATAGAAATATGGATGTGTATATGGATGTCTATGTACTTTGTAAATTTTTTCTGTTTGTGTGCATGTGTGCCCTTGGAAGGGGGGATTAAAAGTAATTCATTCATTCATTCATTCATTCATTCATTCATTCATTCATTCAGCAAATATTTATTGAGCACTTACCATAAGCCAAGAACTCTACTACATGCTGGCTATACAATGCTGAGCAAGATAAACATGGCTTTTATTTTCTAAGATAACAGTATAATAACACATGTCCAAGATGAGGAAAAGTAACTGAGACTTGCTGTGCTTGAGTACCATATGATAATTCCCTGACACAGAGAGGACATATTATTATTATTATTATTATTATTATTATTAAATGAAAATCAATTTTTTAGTTTGGTCATAATAACTCATGACTTCAAAGTGTCACTATAAAGAGAAGGTCATAATAATAAAGAAGAGATAAAGGATAAGAAAGGGAGGCATTCTCCTTGAAGAAGAAACCCTCTTCTAGAATAAGACAAATTATACAACCATGTTGTGCAGCCTAGAAAATTTACTCTATAGATTTGGAAGTGTTTTAGGCTAGCAATGGACTTTGAAGAACATATAAGGAATAACACCAGCTGCCTATATAAGTAAATAAATACTTAAGTCAGAGAGAGAAGAGTGAATACTCCTAAACAGTTTATATCTGCAGAAAGACCCCAAACCCAAAAATGATAGATGTGGAAACTAAAGACTTACAGTTTTATTATATGGAAATATCCACCTTTCAGGAAATGGACAGAAATCTAATTAAAACTATTTTGTGATACTGAGAGGCTATGGAAGATGTAGAATTATTGTTTCTTTATGATGTTTCTCTTCAGCAAACTTTTCTTAAGTGACCAGGGTAAGTGTTCACTCAGTTGTTCATGAGCACACATATGGAATTTCTAGTTGTAAAATCTCCAAATATAGAAGTAAGTTTCTCGGGCGCCTGGGTGGCTCAGTTGGTTAAGCGACTGCCTTCGGCTCAGGTCATGATCCTGGAGTCCCTGGATCGAGTCCCGCATCGGGCTCCCTGCTCGACGGGGAGTCTGCTTCTCCCTCTGACCCTCCCCCCTCTCATGCTCTCTCTCATTCTCTCTCTCAAATAAATAAATAAAATCTTTAAAAAAAAAAAAAAAAAAAAAAAAAAAAAAAAAAAAGAAGTAAGTTTCTCCACTTACGAGTTAGCTCTGTAACCATTTCACCAATCATTTATTCGTTTCCGAAAAATAAACTCCCAACATACATTAACAAACTGAAGTAAAGAAGACATTGATTTTTTTATACAAATAGTCATTAGTTACTAGATTATTTTTCCGTGTAGTACCTTACCAATTGTTACTGCTCAATTAATACCTAGCAATTTATTGTTGATTGTCAATTTGTTCATCTTATTTTTAACACATACTTATTTTAAGAAATACGTCCTAATTTACTTACCTGACTATATCTGTTTGGCTGCTGCTTTCCGATCTGGATCTAAAGGAGAGTGAAAATAATGCTTCCAGGTTAATACTAAAAAAAATTTGCCTCCCTAACAAATGAGTGTTAGACTATTTTGTGACCTGCATTAACTCTTTTATACCACCAATTACCACTAATGAATAATTTTAAAAGACTACTAAATTAGGGTATGCAAATAAATAATATCCTCATTTACACATGTACCATGTCCATAAGGAATATAAATTTCAAATCCCCAATAGGGAAAGGAACAAGAAAACAGATTAGTTTTTCTCCTTACTACTTCCCAGCATAGAATATATGCTTGATTTTGAATGCCTGATTCTGGCCTTTAAATGCTTTACCCACTGATAAATTACAGGTCATGAGTTAAAACCCTCACTGACTTCTGGACAATCAGGCAGACTGGGCTGACAGGGCAGTTTTCCCCTTCTATTCCACACAGAGAAATAATGGGGGAAAAGAGAAACACACAAAATACTAACCAAAATTTAAGAGAAGAAAGGGAAATTTCCAATGATAGTTTTAAAAAGAGAGAAAATTAAAAACATGAAAGGTAAATAGGAACTAAAGCTGAGTGAGTGACTCTCCAGAACTATGTGAAGTAGTCATCCACATTAGCCTATAAGGAGTTGAGACCTCCTGGAAAAGTGGAACTGACTTCCTCTCTAAACTTGGAAGCAATGAAAGGAGGATAGTGAAAGCTGTTACCATTAGTCTTTGAGATGCAGCAGGGAAATTGCTTCAGAAGTGTAGATGGAAAAGGATCGCCTAGAGACACAGAAACTCTAAGTGCTTAAAATGGTTTAGGGATGTGGATGTAAAAAATATCACATAGAGAAACAGGAACCTCAAGCCTTACCAACTTTAAGTTAGGATACCAGGACATGCTTCCTATGAATTTTAGATCTCCAGGTGTAACAAGTGTAAAAATTTATGACTTAGTAGGGTAATACACGAAATAATCTCCACAAGGAAGATTTTACAAAGCAGGACACACAGAAATCTCAGAAGATAATCGTCACTGCTTAAGGTGGCCTTATAATCAAAGAAAAAAGCCAATAAGCGTTAATGTCCACAGCTAGAGAAAAGTAAAGAATTCATACATGAAAAATTATAGACAACAAATAAACTTTAAAAAAGGATGTTTAGGATTTCCATAGAGACCAATAAAGGAGCAGAATCCATTAAACAAGAAATGAAAGAATGGGAAAAAAAAGAAAAAGAATTGCTGATTTTTAAATTGTTTAGGGAAATCACCCAGGACACTTGATAAACAGAAATGTAATAAAATATAAAAAGACCAGTTAACAGTTGGGCATCTGCCTTCAGCTCAGGTAATGATCTCAGGATCCTGGGATCGAGCCCCACATTGTGCTCCCTGCTCAGCTGCACTCCCTGCTCAGTGGGGATGTCAGGTTCCCTGCTCAGCTGGGGGCCTGCTTCTCCCTCTTCCTCTGCCTGCCGCTCCACCTCCTTGTGTGCTCTCTCTCTATCAAATAAATAAATAAAATTTTAAAAAATAATAAAAAAATTAAAAGACCAGTTAAGAAACATGAAGGAATTCTGACACAGAGGATTTAGAATGAGGGAGGTTCAATATATGAAAAGAAAACATCTAGGACTTTTCCAAAATAGAAGAAAGTTGAGTCTTCTCACTGAAATAAAATACTGAGTCTGGTTCATGAGTTAAAAAAAAAAATCTCTACCAGAATATATTATAATGAAATAATAACTCTAGGGTCAAGAAAAAAACACAGAAGCTTTGTTAGGCAGAATTCCAGAGATTGCTTCCTAAGATCTCCATTCCTTGGTTATTCAAACACCCTTCTGAGTACTTAAAAGGTTTTGCAAGTGTAATTACAGCTCCAAATAAATTGATCTTAAAATACAAAGATTATTTTGGTTGGCCTGACCCAGTCAGGTGAGCCTTCAAAAGTAGAGTAGTCTGGTGCTGGCCAAAAAGGAAGTAAGAGGAAGTCAAAGCCTAAGGAAGACCTGAATGCCCTTTTTTCTTTGAAAATGAAGGGAAGCACATGAGAAACAATGCAGACAGGCTCTGGGAGTAGGAAGGGGCCCCTAGCAGACAGCTCAGACCCATAGATGCAAGAAATTAGATTCTGCTTACAACCTGAATGAGCTAGGAACATAGCCTGGCCTTCAGGCTTTCTGGTCAGGCTTGTGACAACCCAGCCAAATCCACATGATTTCTTTTATTTATTTATTTATTTATTTATTTATTTATTTATTTATTTATTTATTTATTTATTTTAAGATTTTATCTATTTATTCAGAGAGAGAAAGGGAGAGCACCTGCGTGCATGCGCAAGTAGGCGGAAGAGCAGAGGGAGAGAAAAAGAATCTCAGGCAGACTCCCTACTGAGCGCAGAGCCCAACCCAGGGCTTGATCACGACCCTGAGATCATGACCTGAGCTAAAATTAAGAGTCCAACGCTTTATTGAGTCACCCATGCACCCCATCCACTTGGATTTCTAATTTATAGATCTTTGACAGAATAAATGAATATTATTTTAAGTCACTAAGTGTGTGGTAATATGTTATGCAGTAATAGAAATACAAAGCCTACCACAGATAAAACTCTTATTAACCATTAAAGAATAAATGAATAAACACACTAACAGAAGATTTATCATCATCATTAATAAATGCCAGACTACACTGACATACTTTCCAATAGCTGAGGCAAAATAAACTCTCAATTAGAAGTCCACACTATATAGACTCGCATTCAACAGTGAAAATAAAATAAAGACAATTTCGGGTGGATAAGATAAACAGCTTACTAAACAGAGACTCACTGATGGAAATTCTGAGAGATATACTTCCCCAAAAGGGAGATTGAACATAAAAAGATGGAGCGAAAAAAGAATAGTGAGCAAATAAAGTGGTAAATATGTAGTGAAATCCTAGTATGTTTTGACTAAATACAATAATGACAATGATAATGATGACTTGTTTACAGCAGGTTAAAATTCAGGAGTAATTAAATACCGAATAATAATAATATGAAGAGTGAAGAAAAGAGTATAGGAATAAATTGGCGAAGATCAATATGTTGTTAGAAACTGTAAGTGTTCATTATATCTGAAATTGTAAAATTAACATTGAATTTTAATAATTAAATAACAATATAATAAATCAATCATTAAAAAATATCACTAAAAGAATATAACTAGAACATATAATGACCAAATTAATAGAAAGAAAGAAAAAACAATGAAAGTACAATTGATGTAACAGACTACAAGAAAGTAGAAAAATAAAATATGGGCAAAGTATGATAAATAGAATAGAAAAAATAAATAAAATGATAGAATTTAGTCTAAATATATCAGCAAACATTTAAGTATACAACCATATTAAATTCAACTTTGAGAAACTGGAGATTATATATTTTTAACTTCCATTGGCAGGTTATTTTTAAGAAACCAACTTAAATAAAAGATGGAAAGTAAAAGAATTGGGGGCGGAGAAAGATGGCTGAGGAGTAGGAGACCTGGATTTCGTCTGGTCCCAGGAATTCAGCTGGATAGGGATCAAACCATCCTGAACACCTACAAACTCAACAGGAGATCGAAGAAAAGAATAGCAGCAACTCTCTGAACAGAAAAGCAGCCACTTACTGGAAGGTAGGACGAGCAGAGAAGTGAATCCGAGGTGCTATTCGGGAGGATAGGTGGCGGGGGAGGGGGTCTCCATCATCCGCTTCTGGCGAGTGATAGAGCCGTGGAGCACAAAATCGGAACTTTCAGAAGTTGGCTCCGCAGAGGGCGTCACTCCAGTGGCTAAGTGGGGGGTGGAACCCTCACGGGACAGTGTGGTCTCAGGACCCTCAGGGTCACAGAGCGGGGGTGCCTGAGTGTGGCAGAGCTCCCAGGTATCAGAGCAGGGAAGCCGGCTGCAGAGACGGAGCAGAGGCACTGGCTCTCAGCTCAGGGTTGCCATAAACCGTGATCCGCGGCACAGTCGGGCCACTGTTCCTCCAGCAGGGACCCAACAAGTGGCAGATCCAGGGAGACTCCCCTTCCTCCCCCGGGAGGAGCCGCGCGGGAGTGCACCGCAGGGATCTGCTGGATTTGGAGACTCCACACGAGGTCAGGTGCCAGAGATAGAAATGCTCGGTCACAGGCCGGGTGAGCACGGAGTGTGGCTGGAGACTGGGAAGATGAGAGTGACTGACTGCTTTACTCTGGGGGCTCACTGAGGAGCAGGGCCCCAAGTTCTCAGCTCCTCTGGGGCAGAGATTGGGAGGCCGCCATTTTCACTATCGTCCTCCAAAGCCGTACCAAAAGCTTGCAGGGAACAAAAGCTCCCGAGAACAAACCCGAGCAGATGACTTAGCCTGGACCAGCAAGGGCAGGGCAATTCCACCTCTGGCAAGACATTTGGGAACCACGGCAACAGGCCCCTCCCCAGAAGATCAGCGAGAACAGCCAGCCAAGACCAAGTTTACTGATCAATGAGAACTGCAGAACTCAAGCTAGGGGAATACTGCACATAGAATCCATGGCTTTTTTACCATGATTCTTTAGTCTTTCAAACTTAATTTTTTTTTTTGAAATTTTCTTTTTCCCTTTTCCAACCAACATCTTATGAATCCCTTTTATAAAAAACATTTTTATTTTTCATTTTTAGAGTCGTATTCTATCCCTTCATAGTAGTTACCCTTATTTTTGGCATATATATATAAGTTGCTCCTTTTTAAAATTTTGAGATACAGTTTCTTCTAACAGGTCAAAATATACTTTAAATCTCTAGTGTATTGTTTGTTCTACTCTCCTGCCTAATCACATTCTCCCCCGCCCTTTATTTTTAAATCCTCTTCTTTCTTTTTTCAAACAACTTCTTATCAATTCCTTTTATAAAATTTTTTATAATTTTCATCTTTACAGTCATATTCCATCCCTTCATTGTATCAACCCTTATTTTTGTACATATATAAGTTTTTCTATCTTTAAAATTTTGGGAGGCACTTTCTTCTAACAGACCAAAA